AGGACGGGTCGACGAGGCATTGGCGCCGAGATGAATGGCATGGAGGTCTGGGCTGGTGTCTGAACCTCAACCGTCCCAGATGCCGTCGAGGAGGATGCCGGTTCCGAGGGCGTAGGCGAGGAAGTGGCCGAAGAGACCTGTGACATGGTACTGGCTGAGGGAAGACGGGATGAGGGAAAGGAACTATACACGAAAGGAGGGGAGGAAAGGGGAAAGAGAGCGATATATCAGACAAACGGCCAGATGAAGTGGAGGCGGAGAACGGAGAGGGAGGAGTGACAGCGATGGGCGGAGCTGGACAGGGGAGCGGTCAGGACCGTGGGCTTTTTAAATGTGAGTGCCTTCCCCTGAAGGGGTAGTGATGATGAACCTATAGTGGAGGGATTCTGTCAGGCGTCGGAGTCGGGTACGTGACAACTCCGAAAACGGGACAAGGGGCTTGAACTCGGTCTGTCTGGGAGGGCCCAACTCATAGGCTTATGTCTGTGCTGGACCCGGCTGAGGAGCTCGGTGGGAGGTCAGGGCGTACAGAAATCAACGGAAGGTTTAGGACGGATCGTCTCTTGACCATGAAGGACATGAAACATTTCATAGATATAGGAAGATTCTGATGGGATCATCCTGATGAGAAACATGACAGGGGTGCTCCTCATCCATGTTGCTCACGGTACGAGAATATGAGTGGGCGGACAGGGCAAGCTAGGTCAAGGAGCGTTTACGCTTTTCCGCTGGACTAGATCATTCCATGCGTTCTTAATACCTCAAGGCTGATTAGTGGGATAAAACCAGATGAATTAGCCGTCAGAGCTTAAATGACCCATACATAGAGAAAGAGAGGGAATGAATGATCAGGCTGTGTTTTGTTGTGACCTTATCCATCTGACTTTTCTGATCTACCAAAACTACAGCAAAATGACCTGGGGATGTTATTGCTGAATGTCAGTGTCCCGATTTTCTGTCTTCAGTTCTTTTTGAGGGCCTGGAAATATTAAATGGGACTGGTCCTTGATTTTTATAGAAATAATCGGCAGCATTTTTCGAATTAGAAAAGGCTCATAACTCAATAATAAGGCATCACCATGGTGAAATAGGTCATCCCATGACTCCCCCGGATTGACCTACAGGGATAAGGACACTGAGTCTAGGGCTTGGGTGAGTAGGTGAGACCGACTGGCCGCTCTCCCACCCTCTAAACCCAGTCATTTCCCAGTCCGGGTCTGGGGCTCATGATGTTGACTCTCTCGCACTTTGGCCAAGCATTCATGGTGTATCTATCGCCGTGACAAGTTCGGGTGTAATTGTGGTCCATACTTGGACTGGTCCGTCCCCCCAGTGTGGGTGCTTTCTCTCCTCAAAGGCTAACAACTTTCAGCCGCGGCTTGTTCATCCTGGGGATCCGCTTAGCCCATTACTGGAAGCATGCCCTACCACCCTCAAGGGCCCACACAGACACACAGAACATACACACACACACACATGGAGTCGCACATTCCTATCATCTCAGGTCTTTTTCTCACCTTCCTGTTCATCTTCCCTGCCTTCCTATCCTCCCTCCTCCTCCTCTTGCTCCTTCGTTCTCAATAGCTTTAGCTCCTCACCGTCCTCATGCCCGCTTCGCCCATTGCCATCTTGTACCTTTGCCGACACGGAGAAACCGCCTTTAATGCCGCTGGAGTCCTTCAAGGAGCAGGGATAGACCCGCCACTCAACGAACGAGGCCAACTGCAGGCCCAAAGACTTGGGGAGCGCTTCCACCACGTCCCTCTCTCCCTCTTGGTCACAACACCACTTCAGGTAAGCTAGAAGAGCGAAAGGAGCAGAGGAAAGGACTTACCCTCACGTCATCCATCCTTGTACAGAGAGCCAAGGAAACGCTGGACCAGGTGGCCAAATATCATCCGGAAGTAGATATGGTAGTGGAGAGGGGCCTTGGGGAAATCCATTGGGGTGAGCTGGAGGGCAAGGAAAATCCGGATCTCACAGCCCTATTTGCCCACTGGGAAGCTGGTGATTTCGATGCCAAAACCCGAGGTGGCGAATCGCCCAAAGAAGTGGAGGATCGAGTGAGGCCAGCCATGGCCAGGGTTCTAGAGGCTGCCCTCCCCTCGGCCTCGGGGCCTCCTTCATCATCTATTCCGTCCATTGTTTTTGTCGTTCACGGCAGGCTCCTTCGCATCCTCCTCTCCTCCCTCCTCGAGGGGTCACTCTCCAAGATGCAATCATACACCCACCACAATACGTGTGTCAATACCGTCGAGGTCTATCGGCAAGATAAATCCAAAGACCAAGAGGGGGATCTATTGGCAGGATATCGCTTTGTGGCGACGGACTTGGACAATACTACCCATCTGGCTGGTATTGCCCCTCCGTCCGATAATCCTACATAAATTGCACATGATCAGGAAGAAAAGGTTCAGAAGCGACGGGGTGTGGAGAAGTGAAAGGGACACGGGAACCTGGATAGACCTTTCAGGCCGCCTGCCTTCGTATACATGGGAAGAAAAGATCTCTTGGAATAGAAAGACTCTTGGTACTTGGGGGGAATGGTGATCTTTAAGGCTTTTTTACTATCAATTAAATTGACCGGGCTTTCCCGTTCTAAAAAATGTATCTATACGAATGATAATAATAATAGTAACAGTAACAGTAATAATAACAACATAATATGGCCAAGGAAACCGCATCATCGTCCACCGTTTGCATGGCTTAGACGCGCACATTATCCATAACGACTTATACTGTGGCACACACTTTTTTTCTTTTTCTCTGAAGCCCACACAATTTATGGAGCTGGACGGGGTAAGGACACAAAAGAGGATGGGTACAGTTCTTGGGCCGTGTCTCCGTCTTCATGGTACCTTTGATTCTTTCCAGTATCGTTCATCTTACAAATTCATCCTCACATCATGTCGAATACAGCAGTGAAAGAGTGGCTTGACATCCTGCCCAAATTCACAGAGTCGGTCCGTGGGATCGAGGAGCAGGTCAAGACCTTATCCGGTCGAGTGCGCCAGGGAGAATTGCCAACTGAAAAGGGCATGTCCCTTCTAGAGCTTAAGCAGCGTAAGTTACTTGATCCGAAGCCACTTTCTTCCCCTGCTCATCCTCACACCTATGGTAGAGCTGATGCTGCAATACTTGACCGATCTATCCTTGCTACTCGAGGCCAAGGTCCAAGGGATCCCTCTTTCTTCCTCCACAGATGACCGAGAGGAGGCTCCCCTGACCAAGGAGGTCATCTGGGATATGGCGGAGATCCGCGTTATTATGGAAAAAATGAAGGGAGCCGAGCAGAAGAGTCGTTACCAGATCGACAAGCTCATTCGGGCTGGCATGGCCGCAAAGGAGGCCGAGGAAAATGAGTCCTCGGGAGAGCCATCCGCAACCAATATGGGTAAGTGGATGCGTGCAGATAATGAGGGATTTCTTTTCCTTCTTTTCCACAGTGCTTTCAAAGCCCCTTTCTATGCCTTTTTACCTACTAAACCTCATTCTCTTCCCTTTTCTAACCCATAGAGGATCCTTATCAATTCAAGCCGGATCCTCAGTCGTTAGTCTCCCAAGAAGAGGAAGACCAGGAGGCGCAGAAGGAAGAAAAAAAGATGGCGCCTTCCAAGAAGGGAAAGACCGGGGATTCATCCGATGCCGTCCCGGCAAATGCCGATGGCACTGCTCTGTACCGAGCCCCGAAGATCGCTCCGGTACACTGGGAGGAGGATACGCTCAAAGGAAAGGATCGGCGGGAGGCTAGAACGGAGGAGCGGAGAAAGCAAAAAGTGGCCCAGTCTCGCTTCATGCGTGACCTCGTCACTGAGTTGGATGAGCGACCTGAAGAGGAGGATGCCATGGGTGGTGTCCGCTCTGGCTATGGCGGGGATGACCGAGAGCAACAACGAGCTAATGAGGTGGAGTCATGGGAGGAGGATAACTTTGTCCGTCGGATCGTCAAGAAGAGCGAGAGGAAGAAGCAGGAGAAGATGGCCCTATCCAATTTTGACAATGAGTTCCGCAACCTCAATGACCTTTCCGCCATTTCTGTCATGCAGGATGTGGAGGAACGGGACCGAGATGGCCACTTTTCCCTCCAGACCCGTCTTCGACGTAATGAGGCTGAGCAGGGCAGTAGAGTAAGTGAATCTTTAATGGTAGCTGTACCGGATTGGGTTGTGTATGGTGTAGGTTGAAAGTATATTATGTTCCTCTGATCTAACCTAACCTAACCTAACCTAACCTCCCTCCCTTCCACTTCTTAATGGTGATTAGACGATCGGGAAGAGGAAGAATGCCCGTGGGGACTCTCGTGAGTACAATCTGGGAGAGCTCTTTGGTGAAGCCAGTAATGATCGGGAAGGAGGAGGAAATTTCCAGGCCGAGAGGAAGCGTGCTAAGCGTCAAGCTTCGTACAAGGGCAAGAGTCGTGGTGGCAGCAGCTCCAAGCGTCGTTGATCATCACTATTGTTCTCATTCAATGATTTTTATAGGACATGGGATGACATGGGGTGGATAAGATATACTCCCTTTATGTTTGTACGAACGTCATGAGGAAAAAATTTACGTTGATGCATTCACTCTTTTTCCCCTTGCCTCGTTTGGTGATATGATTAGGGATGGCTACTCTAATCCAATGGACGGTGGAGTATGGGATAATGCGCATTTTCAAAGGTATATAGGGAATATCAAATTATGAGCAGAGTCAAGATGTCTATTCTCCAGAGTGAGGTACCTCCTCCCTCTACCTCTTACACCATTACCCCTAATCGGTAACTAGTAGATACTCACGCCTATACATCATAGCCCTAGTAGTAGTAAACAGCGAAATGTATTGGGGAGATTACAATCTTCAAGTCTCACTATATATCATAACTCTCTGTGTCCAGATTTATGAGATGGCTTTTTTCTAGCAAAATATGGACTCTAATTATATATTTGGGGACGCATCCCCTAGCCAACCAATAGGATAGTAATCTCTACGGGATAAGGAGTCTTGAAAAATTTTTATTGGAGAGATGGCCGAGCGGTCTAAGGCGCCACGTTCAGGTCGTGGTCATCGATGATGGCGTGGGTTCGAATCCCACTCTCTTCACTATTTTGTGCTATTTTTAAAGCGAATGTAGACAGACTGGTGGAAGGTATGGAGCCTGACACAGAGGATAGGAAATGCTATGACTTCTATATCTCTTTCCTTTCCCTTCCCCATGTCAGGTTGCATGTGCCTTGGTTCGGCCTCGTTTCGCCCCTTGAATGGACCCTATCCTCTTTCCTGCTATCTCCGGACACGAAGGGCCTGTAGAGTCAATGTAGGCCGGGCCCTATCCTCGGCCACCTCCCTTCATCGTGCTCTGATCCAACCTCCGTCGTCCGCATCGCATCTCTCGGCCTTGGCCAACCGTGCTCTCTATCAGCATCCCATCCCACATCCTCACGTCCTTCATCAGCTCTTCCAGGCTGCAATACGCCTGATTCTGCCGTCTCCCAGGGCATACGCAGATCAGGAGAGCCGGCGTACCCTCACCCAGGTACTTCGCCGACTTGAGCCGTTCGTCCGACCAACACAGGACCATGATTCGCTTATCCTCACCTGTACCTACGCTGCCATTTTGGCGGATCCTAGCAGGACCTCGGAGGTCAGAGCCTTGATTAATCCTGCCCAATCCATTTCCTTGAGTACAGCTTCCACCAATTTGGCCTTGAATCTCGAGTCGGTCTTGGCCCTGGGACACCTATTACGCGGCAATCCAAAGACAGCACTGAGCAGCATATATGATGCATCCACCCGTCTCTCTCGATTGCCTATGGGTTTCCACTTGAGCAAGGCGTTTGTCATGAGTATATGTGGGGTCGAGTTCTTTCGTTTCTCTCTCCTCCTCGCTCTCTCCATTTGCTCAGATGATCCCCAGAGCCTTATTGCATCGGGAAAAGTTGCCTCCTTCTTCCTAAGCTCCGAGTACGTTTACCTTTCCACACCGCTTCTTCTCTCCATTTTTATGGGATTGGGCTTTGGTTTGAAACGATTATACGCCCAATCCTACTTCTCCACCCTTCCTTGGAATCTTTTCTCCTCCTCGTTTGGCATAAATCCTTCTATCCATGCTGTACCTCTTCAGGGCCTCAGTCCCTCCAGCCATCGCCGACCGCCTAGCTCTGTTTTGCTCCCAGCATGGGAGATGGAATCGTGGATGCTGGAAAGAGCAGGATTGGATGCAGCAAGGTTTTGGTGGGCGATTCCAGATCTGCGTGAGGGAATCTTAGATTTGAAGGTTGGAAAGCAGACTGGAGAAAGGCGGCCATTACGCTTCGCCTCCTTCCTTCAGGATTATTCAGGGCGAAGGCGCTACTTTATGCTTTCTGTCCTCCTCGGCTTATGCCGGTATGAGGATGTACAAGGGGTACGGGAAGTCCATCAGATCCTCACTCAGTCTGGCGTCCCGTACGATCCGTACATAGAATCCTCTGTGCAATACGTCCTCTCTCAGAAAGTGGGCACATGCGGTGAGAAAGGTATGGTTAAGAGGGGGGCTAGGCGCCCATCTTCCTCCTATGTAAATGATCAATAATAGCAATACCTACTATCTGTCCTTGTTCATTGAGATTGAAAATATTTAAGGAAATGAAGCATGAATTAAATATGCATCTATTTAGGTATACGGCTGACGCATCCGTTCTTCGGTACTCTTTGTATAGTGGATCGTTATTACTCCGCGGCCACACGGTCCACTAGTCTAAATATCAGCATGTGCATCATCAGTGGAACCAAGTTGGCCTTTTCTAATCGTCTTGCGTCCTTTTTCTCTCTCTCCTCTCACTTCTCCATCACAATCACTTCACTATGCTCGTCCGCGCCTTCCGTCCTCTTCAAAGCTCCTCCCTGTTTGCGACATCACTCACGCGATCTCCTTTAACCCGGATGCCTATGCGTTGTAGTACTGGTGCTCCCAGGAACTTGTTCGATGAGATGGGCGTCCGGTCCCCACTAGCCATCCAATCATGGACTCGAACAGGCTTTGTCACTCAAAGTGGTGAAGGAGGAGAGAAGAAGCACACGGGAGCTCTGATTATCCATAACAACGTCCCTCGGGCCTGGACTGAAGCGCCTAAGGTGTCCCCAGAGGGTGGATGGAAGGGCTGGGAAGCTTCAGATTTCGAGTTGGTCCTGCAGCGCATGAAGCCCAAGCCTGGTAGGTTGAACGTGAAACTTCTTGAAGGATTAATGATTAATAGTAGATTCCTATCCCTTATGCATTCTCTCGTCTTTATGATGGATATGTCCCTCGGCATAGATGTATTGGTCTTAGGTACTGGAAGAACTCTGATTCCCCCATCCCCTCCTTTGCGTAAGGCCCTTTTAGCCTCAGGTATCCCTACGGAGGTCCTTTCCACGGTAGGTGTCTTTGGATCTTTTTTCCTCTCCGAAACTCTAGGTTGTATTCTTGCGACCTCCTGCTAACTAGCTATATCCATATCGCTCTGGCCATGGCGAGTAGAGGCATGCCTGCGATACATTCAATGTATTACAAGAGGAAGGCCGCGTTGTCTCGGCTGCTCTCTTACCCATGGTTCCTGAGCCTGAAATGGAATGATAATAGATGCGGGGAGAGTCATCATTATCGCTTCATCCCAGTGATTTATGCTTGGCATACCTGTGACATTATGGACTAATAATCACAGCACGACCCTTTTTATTCCCGCTTCGTGATCATTCGTCCTTTTATTCCTCTTCTGTAAAGGATCATGCACGTCCATCGTGTTATACAACGGTGTCCTCGTGAGCCCATAGCTTGAGGGTTCGGTCAAAGCCGGTGCTGGCTAAATACGATCCGTCTATATGGGATGGGGGGTGGGAATGATTGAGTGATGCGGGTGACTCTAGCCTGCCTGGACAGCGTGCCACTTGGACTATAGGCTTAACAAAAACCTACCTCGATTCACATCCACACCCATGACCTTGCCGTCGTGTCCTGTCCAGGATTTGATCATACGCCAATCACCCTCGCTCCAAGCTCGAATAGAACCATCAAAGCTTCCAGTGAGAAGCCACATTCCCGGATTTCCGAGGGATATAGGGGCTTGGATATCATTGGTAGGCAGGGCTCCTTGGTAGTATTTGATATCTGATACGACACTGGTGTGGGCAGCAATGGTTTGGACCGAACTTAGCTTCCGGATGTCCCAAATACGCACTGTGTTATCGCCGGAGCCCGAGGCCACTTGATGTCCATTAGGTGACCAATCCAAGGAGTAAACGGGTCCTGCGTGACCTTGGAGCACCATAGCACTGCGCCCACTCCGCGTATCCCAAACTCGCCCCACCTTATCAAGACCTCTGAAATCAAGGGAGGGAGGAGGGTTGTAAGATAAGGGATTGCAGCAAAAATGACAGGCTTCTTCTTCCACCTCACCCCCATCTTACCCTGTGGCCACAAGGGAGCCGTCACCTTGAAAGGCCACGCTAAACACTTCCCCTGCATGCCCTTCTTGAAGTAGTAGCTCTTTTTGAACCTCAACGTCCCATAGACGCCAAGTTTGATCAAAACTAGAGAAGGGGGCGCGAGGGGTTCTTTGAGTCAGTTCAAAATCCTTGCCGCTTTTCTTTTCCTGCTCTTGTTCTAGGGTTTACCTTGCTGATCCCAGATATCGACCATTGGGGTGAAAGGCAATTCGACAGACACGATGGATGTGGCCCTTCAGCTGGCCCAGCATCGCTCCACCGCCCTTACTCTCATCCCCCACACCCATGTTCGAATCTTCCGATGCCTTCCCAGGAAGGCTCCAGAGGGAGATGTTACCCTCGGCCCCACCAGTAGCAAGGTTCACCGATGCTGCGGATTGCCCAAGGGTGGCTTGAGGGTGCCAAGCAATCCCACCTAGACGATCGGTGTGGCCATTCAGAGTGGCGATGGGATCGCACATTGGCACGGTCCAGATCTTAGCAAGACCTGACCAGCCGGCGGTGGCAATCATTTGTCCATTGGGCGAAAAGGCACATTGCGCTACTGCTCGATCATCCCCAAGCTGGGAAGCTAAGTTGGCATAGGATCGTAGCTGACGGAAAGCCGTGTTACGCGCTGTTCGAATGGTTACCAAAGATGTGGAAGCAAACGTCTTTTGCCTTTCAATCCTTTCTTTTGCCCTAATTGTTCCGGGACAAAAAGGTGATTAATCTCATCCCAGACCTTACACTACATCCTCACAATCCTAACACCAACCAACAGCACCAACTACCCTGACATGAACGGTTTCTTACCTTGGCATGGAGAAAGAGAGCATCTCCCGACGGGCGTGTAATAGATCCTCTGACCCCACCGTGTAGAATTCCTCCTCTTTATCCTCCTCTTCTCTTTGGTCTTGGGATCCGCCCTCCTCCATGTCAGTATCCTCATCACTCTCATGGTCACTCATATCTTCGTCCTCGTCCGAGGCGTCTCCAGCTGCTGCTGCTCTCTTTTCCTTTTTACTCAGTCTTAAGGAGAGAAGATGACGAAGGCGATCTCTTCGTTCAGAAGGCTATATAGCGAGTCCACACGATCGATCCAAAGGAGAGGAATGAGGGTGGCATTGGCATGAAGGAAAAGGCATTTCATCTGTATCCCATCACTCACTTACACCTTCGGCAAAGAGACATTGCGGTTCTTTAAGATCTCGGAGCCGTGCACGAATTTGACGGTCGTCCGTGGGGACGGCCAGTTCTCTTGCTCGCTTTCGCCGGTCCATTTCTTCCATCAGTGCCTGTTGCTCCTTGCTCGTGTACATGGAGGGATCCCGGTGTTCTCCATCTGCTCCCGTATCCACTATATAAAAGGCACGAGACGGATTTGACGATCCAGGGTCAGTCTGGTGCAAGAAGTGTGAGGTGACCTGTTCACGTACCTAGATCCTCCAGGGCAATCGTTTGATCTCCCCTAACATCTTCAGCGTTGGGGTCTAACTTAATTCGCTTTCCTTCGCGTCCCTGCTTTGTGTCCATCCTGGCGGTGAGGGAGTGGTTGAGATTGTAGAGTAGAAGGAAGAGTGTATGCTACAGTGACCGACAACTGACGTGCTGTGTGCCTCTGGGTTAAAACCACCTCGAAATTCCGCAGGGTAGTA